TCAGTGTTTGTACCAAATAATATATTTTCACTAGCGGCTCACCCTCGCTTTGCTCGGGTTCGTCGCTAGGTACGTTTTAAATAGATATAAAAAGTTATTAGCCAGCGTAAGCCATATAAATTTTAATTTTTTTTCGTTAATTATTCTGATGTTTTAAGACTTACCTATTCCGGACTAAGAGAAATCCACAAATTAAAATATCATATAAACTGGAACGCGGTCGAACGGGATAAAAAGTATCCTATATCCGTCTCTGGGTTCTAAGCTACCTCCCCGCCAATTTTCAGCCAAATCGGTTCAGCCGTTCTGGAGTTATAAATAGTGTAACTAACACGACTTTCTTTTATATATATAGATTACAATTATGATGAAGAATCAATTTATTATGATTATCGGCTTCAAAGTCTATACCTTGGATTCCTTTACTCAACAATAATAAGGACGAATTTATTCTGGTCTTGACCTCAATTGTGTAAGATTTCAACTGCTATAATGAAATAATTTGCGTATTATCCTGTAGTTAAACGTTACAAATCGTTAAGTTGTATACTGTCTCTTCTTCGAAACCCACCGACAGATTCGTTTCTCTAATACTCTCTTTGTTTTTCTAAATCTGAAATATCTAATCCATAAATAGATATGAAGTGCATGAATGAAGGCACTTTCGACTGAGTTAACACGAATCTAACCTCACTATCACTTCCTTCAAAATAAAAACCGAACTCATTTTTATAGAGCACAAAGCGACAAAAACCTTTTTTTCTGTTCTTATAGTAAACAGTTAACCAATATTTCTTTATATATTATATATATATATATATATATATATATATATATATATATATATATATATATGTATACTAGCGGACCCGACAGACGTCAGACAGAAAATTTCAAACTTTTTTAATAATTTTTTTGATGAAAATTATTATTCAAATTGTGAATCTAAACCATTCCCAGATCCCCTTGAACACACACAAAAAATTTCATCAAAATCGGTCCAGTCGTTTGAGAGAAGTTCAGTGACATACACACTCACAGAAGAATTATATATATAAAGATATATATATATATATATATATATATAAATATATATATCATATTTAATAATTGGGGGACCCTCAACATGTTTTACACTAATGAGAGATCTTGAGAAGTAAGAACGGTACTTTGAGTTCATTAATTATATGGAAAGCCCTAAAGCTAACAGGCACTTGAATGAAGAGGTTATCGATTCAAAGACTACTGGCCAGATAATTTCATGCCCAAATATACTGCCTCGTAAAACGTAGCTTGTTTTTATAAGCTATAAAACTCTGCTAAATATTTAAGAGAAAATTACATTTATATACCACATAGACTCCTGATGGTACTTTAAATAATTCTACCCATAAAGTTAACCATAGCAGTTAATCGACCAAAATAATACAAGACATGTGAATGAATAAAAATCTATAAAATATGAATAAAACCAAACTGAACAATGTTGCAAAGATTTCTTTCATCGCGATTTCCTGAATAATACGGCAACCGGCTACAATGTTAAAGTGCAACTTTCTTAAAACTAACAAAATGTTACTGGAATTATAGATAGCGTTTTTATGAACTGTTTGTTTTGTACAATCTTAGCAGTAACTCAATGCTTGAGGTTGACGAAGTAAGTATTTTATGTAAGTGCAGTGCAAAATAGAATTTGTTTTAGCGGAATAGCATTGGCCGGAAGAGAATAACCAAGTTAATGAAAGTTTCAGAAAGTGACCACAAAATCAACGGAGGGAATAAATTTGTTACTTAAATAACTAGCGACTCACCCTCGCTTCGCGCGGGTTCATCCTTGATTCCCCATATAAACTTTCATCCCCATTTTCACCCCTTTAAGGGATGATTTCTGGGATTAAAAGTATCCTATATCCTTCCCAGGGTCTCAAACTATCCCCCCCAACGTGCGTTCACCTTGTCGTGGTGGGGGGGCTCAGTAGTGCCCGGCAATCCAACCGGGCGCGAAGCTAAGAAACGCACAGGGAGGTTGCCCACTTCGGTGGGCGGTGGGAGGTGGCCCTCTTTGGGGGGCTTTGGGGGGTGTACCATGCGGGTTGCTCCTGGTACTTCTCTGATAGCAGAGTGGACTGTGGAGCAACCCCATGGTTGTGGTGGTCTGCTTCGGCAGACCTGCCGTCGGGGCGTCGTAGTTGAATGCGCAAGCGATCCTGCGACGCCCCATTAAGACGGGGGAAGGTTTTGTTGGGTTTTAGTGGGTAGTACTGGCTGTATTACGCCAGTGAGTCCCACACGTCGTGCGTAAATGCATTTCCCAACATAAAAAAAAAAAAAAAAAATAGGGTCTCAAACTATCTACTAAGCAAATTTCATCTAAACCGGTTCAGTAGATCCACAGATTACCTCCTACAACGTCACAAACTCACAAACTTTACCTCTATATATTATTAGTAAAGATATAAGCAACAAATGTGGAAACGTTATTTATTGAGAAGAATTGTGTCTTGTAAGCAAAATAATGATTTTATATTTAAACTTGAATACTGATATTATAATAATTTATGGTGTGTTTATGTTTTAGTTTATATTTCACGAGGGAGACACGGACTGAAGTATTCTTCGGCATCGAGCATGACGCTAAGCCTCTTTTAGGTACTTGTAATGGTTCTCTTGGGGTGTACCCTTGCAAAAATTAATTAAGTGTGTTTATATTATAAAATTATAACTATTAAAGCCCTTGTCTTTACGTATGTTCTAAGCGTTTGATATTAAAATGAAAAATTAAGCTCAATTATACTTAATTCAGTTTTCTTGAAATTGCTAAGGCAATTTACTCATCAAGTTTAAATTGTTTGCAACTACTCAGGTTTTGTGCTAACTTCGCCATATAAAGTGAACCCATTAGCAAATAGAAGTTTAAATCCAATAATTTGTTTTATGCAGCCATGCAATATTGATGACATGATAAAGTAATATTACCGGAGAAATTTAGACACTAGAAATGTATGTATGGTTTCTTTCTTTAGACAGACCAGCCCAATAATGAAACACGTTTAAAATAATATATTAATATTAAGTATAATAAAATTAAACATGACAAAAATCGTTGTTTTTAAACAAATATATAAAGGTTTCAAAAGATTAAATTAACCGTAAAATGCCAAGCTGGAATCGAAAGCCGGTTTTAGGCAAGGACAGTAAATACTTTAGAAAACTAAAAACCTAGAATACGTGTAATAGCCGCTATAAAGCGTGTTTGAGAATTTATATCCCAAATAAACGGCGGACGGTGTTATGGGTAATAAATATTACGATATAGGAAGCAACCAGCTATAAGGTGGTAATAAATGCATCTGACTATCGATTACGGTTTTACAACGCAGATAGGCCCACGTGTTCCACTGTACAACCTACGTAGACACAGAACCGGGTACTTTGATTGCTTGTAGTTGTGAATTTTATTTGCAAATATATTGAAGCGTGATTGTATCATAAAAATGCGAAGCTCAATATAAAGTTGATATTGTTAACATTATCTTATAAATTAGCATAAGAATGGATTTCAAATAGTTATTAAGTGCGTTAAAATTTACTAAGTCATTCTGCGTTAATTCAAAGAGAATATAATATAATAATATTATTTTAAATACGTAAATGTTAATTATTTTAAATATACAAAAAAGGCAAAAATGTTAAAAATAAAATATTAAATAAACCGACTTCAGATAAAAATAAAAACCGACTTCCGGGCACTAAACCGTAAAAACTGAACGGGGATTTCCAGCCGATGCAAAGCAATGCAAATCTATTACGATACGTATATATAAATAAATAATTGATGTGTAATATTTAATGTATAAGTAATTAGTTATATTTATCTATTAGATATTCATATCTTAAAGCATTGTCGGCTGGCACCGACTTCAAAAATATTTGATTAGGTTGAATGTATTACTGAACTCTTAATAAAAAAAATAGAACCGGTACTTATTGAACCCTTAATATAATTAAACCGCTTTATCACAGAGCATTCATTAGCACAAAGCTTTTAAGCTTATGCTCTAATTTCAAAGCAACGTATATCATAGCAAATAACTAAATCCCTCACATCGTTAGTACAACATTGTGTAGGCTTTCCACTAACCCAGAGTAATCGAGTGTTATGAGCACAATACATGCACCGATAACGATAGCCACACACTTCAGTCGGATCGATATGTATTACTTGTAAACCATTCAATAGGATGGAAGATAACGGGATTAATATACATCGATTTATCAGCCCTTCAAATGCTTTTAGATCAAAGTTGGGTATACTTTTATAATATTAATTTTAAAAATTAGCAAAATCACAGTATGAATATAAAGAAAATTTGTATGTATGTTTCTTAGTCCTTCCTGTAACGACTGGACCGATATGGATGAAATTTACAAAAACCTACATATGATCCGAAGTAGAACATAGGCTACTGTTATATTATGTATAGTATATATGTTATAGGCAAACTCCGAAGCTCCGGCGCTCCTAGGTTGGACTGGTCAATCCTCAGGTCAGACTGAATGACTTAGTCAAAGCCCAAACAAATGTAAATTTTCGGCCTTTGACTAAACAATTTTCGTCAAACCTGGGAGAGACTAATTTGGTCAGGCAAAAGTCAAAACACAATTTTATTAAATCGGGGTTTGACGAGTCAAACTCCGATATAGGTATGAAGTGTCTTATCTTCGTATATTTGGAAGCATTTTATCATTTAAGCAGCTTTCAAGTCTTAAGAACCGCTTAACTCTGCCAGTTCTGACACCTGATTGGTCAGCTTACGTGATTTTCACTTTTATATTTGAGATGCTTTGAGAGAATGCCGTGTGGCATTAGGCCCGCCTTTTGTACGATGTGCAATAAAGTATAAAATAAATAAATAAATGCTTTGGAATATACGGAGGTTAGTTTGTAAGATTAGGTATAAAAAAACAACATTTTTAAAATTTTGATGTTTATTGTTTTAATAATTTCTTAAGTAATTAACGACGAGTCCCTTTTTAGGCTGACTCTTTTTCTTGTGACACGTTTCACATAAATCCAAGTAATAGTTTACGCACTCTTTTGTGACATTTGCATACTTTTTATTTAAAGCTTTCAATGTGAGATCTCTACCACCATGACCACATTCCTGATGAGCACATTCAATCACATCGAATAACTCGTCATCCGTAACGTAGTATTGTATATTTTTTGTATCTGACAATGGCTTAATCAATTTTTTTTCGTCCCCAAAACAAACAACGTCGTAGCGTTTGAGACGGCGATACTGCAAAGACGACGTTTTCTTTTTAGCTACTTTAGCGGATTCTACCTCACTGATAATCTGCTCATACAACTGTTTGTTTTTTATGTGAAATGAACACTTATTTTTATTCAAATTAGAAATTTTCTCTTTAAACTTTACTTTTAAAGCTTCTTTATCCACGTTTTTAGTAACAACAACACCGTTTGATTCACTCGTTTTCAATTTTACACAATTACACGCCCGCACGCTCAATGAACGAACATGAAATGACAAAACAATCGGTCGGAACACCGCGAGAGACATTATGAACCTGTTTAAACATGTTCAGATCAACGTTTGACCGAGTTTTGCAGTCGCTTCTAGGATTGACTAGGCCAAAACCGAAACAGAATAATTTACTTTCGACGTTTGACTGAAAAGTTAGGAGCTCCTGGGTTTGACTAAAAATACTTCAGGCAAAGGGCGAAATTGAAATGTATTTCGGGGATTGCCAGATGGCTTTGGCCAAACCTAGGATAAACCAGTCCTTCCGCGAAGAGACTGTGTATCGGACTTTGACTATAACATATACATTACCTAAAATGTTAAGACACAATGCTTTACCTGTATAAGCTCGAGCCAAGCAAGCTAAGTCATTAGTACTATTAGTATTAGTACACTAGTATTACTACATGTTGGCATTATATACAAAAAATATAAACATTTTTAAATTATTTTTATACTAGCATTGCCCGCGGCTCCGCCTGCGTTCAGATGTCCGAAAACCAAATTCTTAGGTATTACATATAAGTATATTCTTAAATTGCAGTGATTGTAAAATAAAATATTTCCCCGCGATAAAAAGTATACTATATGTTGACCAGGATAACCAGCTATCACCAAACCAAATTTCATCAAAATCCCTTCAGTGGTTTTTCTTTGATGCGGTAACAGACAAACAGACAGACAGACAAAAATTCTAAAAACTATAGATTCGGCCTATGTATCGATAATAATGTTTATTTCAATAAGATTTTCCATAAAATATTTAATGTACAGATTCGGCTTACGTACAATTTTATTATATGTATATACAAGACCATAATGAAGATTATAAATTGTTTTATTTTACATACAGTCATCCTAACAATTCTTTTACTTCTATATAATGGGTACAATACAGTATCCCTATCTTAATGTATAGGTAATAGATTCATAAAACAGTGGCCTAAAACTATACCTATGTCCTATACCTATAATACCTAGTACAAAGGTAAAATTGATGAATCAATGTTCAGGCATTGCCACAGTTGCATTTACAAAGTAGCTTAATAAATAAGATTTATAGAGACAATTGTATATGAAACAATCTCTATTAGATAATTGTTTGATTGATTGTGTCTATTTAACAGAGTTCTATAGAGATACGGGTCAAGCTGCAATATCCTGGTCGAACTGTTTAGTTTCCGCAAATCATACAGTTTATATATACATATAACAAAATTCTAACTGAATCGAATCTGTACATTAAATATTTTTTGGAAAATCTTATTGAAATAGACATTATTATCGATACAGAGGCCGAATCTATAGTTTTTAGAATTTTTGTCTGTCTGTTACCGCATCACGGAAAAACCACTGGAGGGATTTTGATGAAATTTGGTATGGTGATAGCTGGTTATCCGGGTCAACATATAGAATACTTTTTACCACGAGAAAATATCTTATTTCTGAGAAAAATACAAAAATGCAATGTAAGAGTATACTAATATGTAGAGCCTAAGAATTTGGTTTTTGGTCATCTGAACGCGAGCGGAGCCGCGGGAAATGCTAGTACATTATATTCGTATGGGAAACCAGTAATAAGTTTGAGTTTGTATAATTTATTTTCAATAGTTTTTTATTAAGATATTTGAAATAAACGAAGTTGAAATAACAGATTTTTTATACAAAACTTTCTAAATAGGCCAACAAGTAACTTTCACATTTATGATAAATGATCGACAATGGATAACGATAACATACTTAGTAGGTTATTGATGAATACCTTTAAGAAATCTTTACAATGTATACATTTTACATGTACGTACATAATATGAGGTATGATTAAAGAGTCTATTCGAATCACAATATTAGAACCTATATTATACACATTCATTTCTGATTTAAAACATAGCTAGTTTATTTATTTGTTAACCTAAGTTTGTGTTAGCCGTTATAAAGAGTAGGGAGAGTAACTTCTTTATAAAAACACTAGCGACTCACTCCCGCTTGGCTCGGGTTCGTCCCTAGCTTGCTTCCCAATACAAACTTTCATCCCTATTTTTACCCCCTAAAGGAATTATTTCCGGGATAAAAATTATCCCATGTCCTTCCCTTAAGACCCTCTCAAACATCTAACCAAATTTCATCTAAATCGGTTCAGTAGATCCAGAGATTACCCTCTACATTCTACAACGTCACAAACTCACAAACTTTAGCTCTTTATAATATTAGTATAGATATGTACATAGTTATAAAACAGAAATAATATAGGTATAACCGTAACATACCGTAGATAAATATAACAAATAATATTTAACTAAAATAAAGGACTATAAATTTTATCTAACAAAACAAGTGCACTCTAATTTTAGTTGATCGTACTCATAGACATTTTCGTACATCTGTATACTGCAGATTACAATTACGTAAAATGAAATTTGTTTAATAATATCAAGATAGTAACTAAATAATAACTTGTGCAAAACGCTGCAACGATGTATCATAATTCATAATATATTGCAAGCAATAGTCAGACAACTCTCACATACACGAAAATTAAACGAAATGTTTGAAATAAAACTATATTTTCTATTGTGGTTAGGCACTGTCTGTAACAAGTATATAATCTTTCAAAAACTGTAGTCTCTCCCGTGACTATGATTGCTGTAAAACATTCGAAAATTCGGGCACCAAAAATCAAAATAAATCCGCGAAAATATCCAAAAAGATACTTTTATTTTAAATGTCAAATATTCGCGTAAATCCAAAAAAAATTAGCATTAAACAAAATGTGTTGATCTAATTTTTTTCAATATGAAATATAGATTTATGTTATTTGTTTCATTTGTATTTGGTAAATAATACTAAACACTGTCTTTGGAATTTTGCCATTAACATGAATCATCATAGGTTGCAAAAATATTGTAAGAAATTTATTTTTTATCAAAAGACAAATGAATAGAATGTAATAAATCACGGCAAATGCTAACACAAAGATTTCAATAAAATAGGTATTCTGCTCTTTTTAACGTCCCACTGCTGGGCATGGGCCTCCCTTCGAAGGGGATCAGGCCATAGCCCACCACGCTGGTCAAGTGCGGGTTGGCGGACTTCACATGTCTTTCAATAACTATCCTAAGTTCTCTCAAACACACAGGTTCACGGTCACGATGTTTTTCTTCACCCTAAAAGATATTATATGGGATAAAGTTGGTTTAAAATAAAATATAATAGAAGTCGTTTCCTTTTATAAGGCTAAACTATAAGTAATATCTCCAACTCCGCACTACTTTTCAAGTTGAAGATACCTTAATCACAATAACATATCCATATTAAGTTATTTTTTATTTATTTAAAGAATTTTTATTTATTTTTTATTTATTTATATAGGTTACATTTCGTTTACCTCATTCTTATCATTTTCTTATCTTATTTATTTTTAAACGTATAAATTAATAATATAAATATGCGCGGCAAATTCATGTTATACGTCAGAAGATATTATGTAAATCAACAAAAAATTGTGTTAAAATAAATATATAGTGTTCGTAGTATTTAATGAGAAAACTTGGCTGTTGCTGCATTAATTTTAGGATTAATTTGAAAAATTAATTTTAATTTTAAATTTGGTTGTTTTAATTTGATTGAATTTCAAAATATTCAGTTTCTGTTATCAATACAATTCTTTATACCAATGTAGTGTAGAATGAAGAAGACACGGTATTTTTGTTTGTTTTATAAAAATGTAAACAATTAATTAATATTAACAAATATATATGCTGAATTACACAATGAACGACATTTTAAATGATAGTTAAAATTTTTAAGTTAAAATAACATAGGTATATTGTTATTTTTTCAAAGTTTCAGCATAAATATAAAATGTCCCAATTAAAAATCAATTTTTACAATATAAGCGTTTAAGTAAAACTATTAAGGCTTCATTTGTTCTGTTGTTCTGCTTTTTGAGGCGTACATTTTTTTGATTTTTTACAAGATCCTGAAATTCCCAAACAAAAATTTTGCACAACTATTTATGTTTTACATTTTTTAATTTACTTCTACAATATTTTTTTTTGTTCTATTTTATAGCGCATTGTTGGTTAAATGAGTTAAGCATTTAGGGAATTTTAGAAGCATTAAAATGGCCATATTTGACTATTTTTTATCAAAAAAAAAAATCGTATAAAACACTAATCAGAAACATTAGGTTGCTCTCAAAGTTTCAAAGTATTTTAAAAGTAATAGGTCTAGTTCACAAAATAAATAAACACCACATTCTATGTACAATGTATATGAAACACAACAACAAAATTAAATATTGATCAAAATTTTGCATTATATTTGCTTTCAACGGTGACAAAATATCGGGAACACATAAAAAGTAAGTGAAAAATATGGTAAATCCTCCCTTTTCCATCATAAAATTAATATGTATTGTTTCTGAAAAAATGGCGTCATGCGAGTTTTTGGGATGTAAGAAGAGCCTTGTAGCATTTTTTATTTATTTTTAACATAAGAAATTGGATTTTTTGTAGATATTAATTAATGAGTAAAGATTTAAAGGTCAAGTATGTGTAAAAGATACAATAAGAACTTGTGTAAAAAAGCATAACTTTTTGTGATGAAATAAATAGAATTAGGCACATGGGTAGAGCCGAAGCCAGTGGCTAGCTTAAAGACAAAACTAATAATAGTATTGTTAGCTAAAAATAGTTATGCGGCGCGCAGATGTAAAATATTCTAATATTAGCTTTCATTTATCATATTATCACCTCATATTTGAATATTCAATTCTGAAATCGTATAAGTAACTTCTATATCGTTCAGTGGAAGATTCCTTAAGAGCAATAAAGGATTTTTTAAAGGAGGCACTGCTACCAAAACAACTATATAATATTATGCATCCATCTCGCTATGTCTCTCTTTAGTGCTCTTAAACGATTACTAGAGCCCTTAAGTCAAAATTTTAGATTAAAAATTAAAAAAGAAAAACATCAATAGGTAAACAAGCAAATATGTTGAGAAATTAGTGAGTAGTTAATCATATAATTTCATTG